CCCCCCCAAAGCTTTTAAGTGACGAGCAGGAAGCGGCATGTGATGGAGGCAGATGTACCTGAGAAACGCATGCAGGAGAATTCCAAACCCATTAGAGTTGCTGGCAGGAGGTTTTGCCTTGCCAGAACCTGTTGGTGATTAATCCTGTAAACTTTGGGAGCTGTTATCCCAGGATGGCTCCACACCTTTTATAGCTTTTCTTCAGCCAGATGCTGAATTTCCAAAAGAAATCCTTTCTTGGCGATAGAATAACCAAGAAGGTATTAAATGGAAATTCCTCTGTTTTTTCAAAGGCAAAATGTTTCCCTCAGAGTCTTTCAGAAACAACTTTTAGATGCAAAGCCATGCTCTCTGTCATTGATACAGACTGTGTCTGAAACGGAGATTTAGTTATTTCTTCAGCATCCCGCTGCACTCCAAGCGGTGACCATACAATTGGGGCCGTGCATGGCTTTGTCCAACTGCACTGCTTACTTCCTACATAGTCTTCCCTCTCCTCTTGTTTTTTTCCTGTGAAATAAGGTCTTATTGGCTAACTTGCTTTGCTTATACTCGGTGCAGCTGGTAAAGTGACTTCCTAGCCCCAGGAATCATTGCACCGAAATCTCAGCTGCCCAAGGTTTGTTTGGTGTCCAAGAGCACATAGCGAAGCTCACCCAGGGCCATTCCCCACACGTATTATTGATAAGACTTTTTGGTTGTTTCAGCTTTCATGCTATTCATCAAATGGGTTACCAAAGCATGGTAAAGGGATTAATTCCAAGCTTGATTTCTTTATCTTCCTAGACTGGCGGATAAGACAGTGAAGGAATACGCCACGTACCGCTCTGGCCTTCTCTTCTGGGCCCTAGTAGATCTCATTTACAACATGTTCAAGGTAAGAAATAACATTAAAGTTCATCTGCATCAGCTTTCGAGCCTGGGCAATGACACGTATTGGAAATAGGAGACAGAGTTCAAAGCTCCTTTTTCCAAGATCCTTGTAGACATAAAACTTCACCTTGTAGGAGCAGAAAGGCTGCAAGAGGCTGCCTGTGCTTAGTGTACACGATTTAATATCTGAAGGATTGGGAGACTTTTCCAGTTTACAGCATTTTGCCTGTGTCGTGTACTCCCTTATTTTTTCTGTCCATGGTTTACTGAAGCCAAGGACTTTCAGAGCTGCACCAGGGAAACAGCGGGGTAAGGAAGGAGGTGGGGGGGGCATCCAACAGAAAGAAGCTTGTAGCTTCCAAAGGGGGTTAAATAATTAGGGTGAGGAAATCCCTTCGGCCTTTTTTGCGTTCTCACACGTGGGGGAACTTCCCTGTGTGGCCTGTTTACAGGAGACAGGGGATGCAGGGCCAAGAACAACAGGAGAAGGCATCAAGGTTTGCAGTTATTCTTCTAAACAGTTATTTTTTGACTGATTTTGTCCCATTTTCCCCTCTCATAGAAGGTGCCTACCAGTAACACAGAGGGAGGCTGGTCCTACTCTCTTGCCGAATTCATACGACACAATGACATGCCAATACATGAAGCTGCAGACAAGGCCCTGAAAACCTTCCAGGAGGAGTTCATGCCAGTTGAAACGTTTTCCGAGTTTTTGGATGTGGCTGGTAAGCGTGCGCTTTCCCTTTTATAGGCTGTCTTATGCAACTTGTGACTGCTGCTTGCTTGAGACAGCAGCATTCCTGACACCGCTGCAGCAGCTTGTTTGTACGAGGCAGTGAGAGGAGGAGGCCTTGGCACTTCAGCTACTGCCTGAGCTATTTCAAAAGCACTTGGGAGACATGCTTTGAGCTTCCCCAGGCAGGAAAATTTCTCACTTGATCCTGTGGGTCCTCCCCCCGCTGTGTTAAACACGCACACCACAGTGTAAGGGTGGGTTTGGGGTTATGTGGTTTGAAGGCTGATAAACAGATGTGACCGTGTACTAGAGGCAGCAGCGCAGTGCAGCCAGAGTTCCTGCCATAGGAGTTTCGATATCACCAGGAGATGCTGGAAATTCACCTGCAGAGAGGCTGCTTTTGCTTCTGCCCCAGGTTAGTTGTGCCCCAGGCCAGTCCAACCTATGGAGCTACCAGGCAGCCAGCTAGCAGCGTCCCTGTAGCAGCTCTGGTGCAGCAGAGCAAGTGCCATATGGATTTAACGTACACGCTTTGGTCCCTTCTGCACGTGCATCTGACATCGTGTCCGTACTTAAAATACCGTCGCAGCTGTCGTGGTTAACTTCCGCACGCCCGAGCACAAATCCCTGCTGTGGGCAGGAGAAAGCGCTTTGTGCATCTTAATTATTCTGTGTTGTCTTCTTTTTGTTTAAAGGACTCTTGTCAGAAGTCAGTGATCCCGACAGCTTCCTCAAGGATCTTTTGAACTCCATCCCCTGAGCCGCCAGCACAGAGAAGCGTTGGGCAGAGACTACACTAGCTTGCCTTCCATCCCTTTGTGTTCCTCCTTGTGCGGTCTGTCCCTTCCCTGAGGAGTGCTGCAGTTGGTTGTTGTTTGGGGTTTTTTTTCTACTTTTTTTTTTTTTTCCCCCCCCTTCCTTGGAGTGTTTTGGAATTTAGGTTTGTTTTATCTTGTGTTTCAGTGCTTCTGTCTGTAAAGCGTTCTGTATTTGAGCTGGTTGAAAGAACTTGTACAGAGAGGAATCCAAACCAGTAATCTTAATGGTTTAGTGTGCACCTCTTTGAAGTTAAATAAATGGAACAATGGGTAAGATGGGTTTGACTAGTACTTTAACCATGCAGTAGCCTAAACGCCCAGTTCTGTCTCATCTTTTTTCTTGGGGCTCAGAGCTGCTGCTCTTTCCAGCCCATAGTCTGGACAAGGAGACACAGGAAACAGAAGGCTGGTAGCAAGTGAGGAAGCAGACTGACACTCTCCCTGCTGATTGTACATGCAGAGCAGGTTTCCCCTTGTGGGACATGAGCCTTAGCGACTCTCAGACTGCAAGGACAGCCTTTCCTTCCCCCCCTCCTTCACCTGGGTGAGGGCAGCTGTCCCAGCCGCAGTCGTCTCCCCCGGCACTTCGCGTTACCCCTCTCCGAGGCGTGTCACGTATCACTGTCTTTCCTGGCTTTCCCCTCGCCGAGGCTGTATTCAAAGCCAGCGCGCGCGTCATTCCCTCGGGTCGCGTGGTTCCCTCTCGGAGGGGTGCTGCTCACGCCGCCTTTGCTTTCTCTCTGTGGGGAAATCTTCAGCTTCAGCAAAACGCATGGGAAAACAGACGCCGCGCGCTTCTCGAGCGGCCACTTGCCCTCTCGATAGCTTGCCGTTGGTGTGCATGCCCTGACCTGAGCCAGGTACCTGCTTTGGATACAGCCTTGCCTTTTCTCACCCAGTTGTGCATGCTGGTAACTTAACCTTTACCACCAGTTCTGCTCTCCTGTAACCCAGCTGACACGTGGTTGAGCTGGAATCTAATAAAGCTTTCCCTGTCTTCCTCGTCTCTGTTTGAACTTGAATTTCCACGATCCTAACACAGTCTCATCCCATAAATAATAATTATTTTAGAGGCTGAAGAACTCGGCAACCTATTTGATGCCTTTTGTTAGTGTTGAGCTCGCGTTATGACTTGGTGATTAGCGAATGAGTGAAGGCGCAGTGTTTTTCTTCTCGTCTCCGTGGGTGCTTAGGTCGTTCCTGGTGGTCGGATTTGGTCTGGGGAGGAGTGCTGAACAGCAGCTCACCCCGAGAAGTTTGGGTTAGTGTCTTGCAACGGACTCGAGGACAAGGCAGCGGGCTGCTCTGTCGCTTGGGTAAATCTGTCTTGCCTTACAGGAGGGGGCTAATGTGTGGAGTTTGTTCTTTAGTACAGCGATACTACGCTTCACCTGCCTTTTAACCACATAAAAGGAGAACACACCTTGTTTTAAAAGCACTGTAACAGCCTTCTCCCCAAATAAGCAGCTGTAATACACCTATGGGTGGACGAACAAACGTTGCTTACCCATACCAGTGTTCTGGGCAATGCTCAAAACCATTTTTGAGTAAAAGACCCTTCAAATCAATATGATTCCTGAAGGCAGCAGTTGAACAGGTAACAAAAAACCAGGTTTTTATGTCTGTGGTTCTAAGGCTTCTCTTAATACGGAGGGTTCAGGTGCAAGACTGAAACCCCAGCGCGTTTTGACTGTGTCATTTGGGTGAGATCGACTGGTTAAGCTCCAGACAAAAACTGATGTGATTCAGAAATCAGGGGAGGAATGCTAGTCTGCCTTGCTACCCACTTACTGTCTTTTCACAGAAAAATACATCTTCTTTTTCCCCCTTCAGCCCAGCCTCAGCGTGGCAGGCAGTCCCTCAGCTTTTGCTTCACAGCTCTCGCCCCGCTGACCCGGAGGAGGATGTTAGAAATACCTCACGCAGTACCTTCCTTCAGCTTACCCAACCAGGGAACTTCGGCGTCGATCCAGTTCTTGCTGATGCAAATCCTGGTATAGCTCTGTGTTTGCTGGCACAGGTCTCTTGCAAAAACAGTCTCTGCTGTTGCAGGAACTGGTAAAGTTCAGACCAGCAAAATCAGCCTTTTACCACCTGTGCGGTTGGGTCAGTGGATCCTTTTACCAGGAGCAGAACGCGATCACCCTTTGTTCACCCACGTTGCTACAACAGTGAGGAAGTAGGATCTTCATGGGAGGTCGTAAACTGTCCCTACCAGCATAAGCACGGTTGCAAGAAACTACTCGGAGCTGCTCCAGAGGGTTTTGCGAAGGCCCAGAGATGTATTTTGGAAAATCAAGGCATTGAGTGCCTCCCTGCCCGGAGCACAAGAGGGCTGTGATTTATGGGGAAGGCAGATTTGAAAAGAAGGTGGAAACAGCATGATGGTGCTTCCGTGCAGCAGAATAGCTTGGGAGGGACTAGAGACTGGCAACAACCACCCCAGAAGACCCAGAGAGGGACAAGAACAAAAGCCAAGTGTTTTGGAAAGTTTCAGCTGACGCAGGCCACACACAGAGGCTCGACCGTTCGCAGTGCTGCACAAAGGCGATGCCCTCCAGGCTGCAAAATCCTCTGCGGGCTGGGGCTGTCGGCGAAGACTTTTGGGGGAAGCCTGTTACTTAAATTAAAAGAGAGGAGCAAGACTGAAGGAAAATGCCTCAAAACGGGTAAAATGACCCAAACTGATGAACCAAACCACCAGCTGAGAAATAGTCAATGCCCTCTGCAAAAACTTATTTGCAAAAGACATATTTTAGGGAAAAGAAATCCTTGGTGGTGCATGAGACCCAGCATGACCTCCATGGCTGCTTTGAACCTGACTTCCTGGGCAAGAGCTTCCCCCC